GTGTGGGCAACCTGGTTCAAATCCTGCCGCTTGTTAGCAGTGAGACCACACAACTGACTCATCTCTGCATTTGGTCTGCTCAGCTGTAGAATGAGGAGAGTAGCAGTACTTCTCTCAATAGGTTGTTTTGAAGATAAAATTGTTGATGTAAAGCACTTAGACACAACCGAGCTACTGAGCACAACACATGCGCGCGCGCGCACACACACACACACACACACACACACAGAAATATGGTAGCACACTCTCATTCTCAATGGGGACTCTTTTGTTTGACATCAGAGGAGAGAAATAGACATGCTACCCAGCCCCCACCCTTTATTTTTTATTGTTAAAAAAGGAAAACACAAAGTGTTCAATTACAATTCCTCCACACCCTTTTAAGGCCTTTTTCTTGCCATTTTTTAATAGCAGTTATCCCAGAAGTGCAGTAAAAATGACAGGAGTTTACCAAAGAGCTAGATGTTGTTAGCATAGGGGAAAAAAAATCATATTTTCAAACTCTCTAGAAGGATGTAAAGAAGCAATCAGTGATGAAGAAAAATGCAGACAGAAGGCCAAAAGTAGATGGGTTATACCCTTGTGTATTATCTAGGGTTTTGAACAGACGTTAATAAAAGTAGCTCATTTGTGAGAAAGAAGAGAGAATTTGGCAGAAGACTGGCATTCAAGAGTGACAGTCAACATTTAGAACTAATGCAGGTTTTGATCAAGTTTGGCCATCCACATTTCATAGATAAGAATGAGCCTCAAAGATAGTAAATGAAATTACTTAAGATGACATAGAGGAGCAGTGTCAGATTTAGAAACCAGACTCTTTCAAAACCAGCCCAAGGACCCTGGAAAAACAGAGAAGGGGTGTAGTGTCAAACAGATCTGTATTGAATCCTGGCTTTGTCACTTTCTAGCTAAGTGACCTCGCTGAACCTCTGTGATCTCATGTATGAAATGGAGATAGTAATAGGATCAACCGTAAAGAGTTGTAAGGATCAAAAGAGAAAATGTGGCAAAGAATTTGACCAAGTATCTGGCATGGTTAGTGCGCAGTGAATGCCAGTTATTATTATTTCCAGCTTGTTCAGCAAGTTTCTGTATGACTATGAATGAGCCATACCTATGATTCACTTTTTACTTGTAAAAAATGATCCTGTTCTCTGTGAAAGACACAAGTGTTTCACTGAGTCACAAGGATGACATTTGCATAATGTTAAAGGGAGTTTGGGAAAAAAGAATGTAAAGTAATATTAAATTGGTGTTAACATCATGACATTTTTATTTGCGGTGTAGATTTCACACACATTACACTGTAAGGTCTGTGTAGGAACTGGGGCACATTAAGGACTGAAGGAAGGTAAGGAAGACCATCAGGAATAATTCCAGTGTTAAAAACAGTTCCAGATGAAAGGATAATATGCACAACATGTTGCAATATTTTTTCAAATCACTTCCATTGTACTTATGAGCTCACGATAAGCGAATGCACAGAACAGTACAATGTCTAATCTACAAGGGCTTGTTTTAGGAGGTAGTTTAAAGACAAATAAAATAAACTACAGTTTACACAGCTGGTAGCTAAACAAATAGAATTCATTGCCCCAAAGGGGGCTATGCCTAGGTTGAAGAAAGGTTTTGATGAATCCATGGATAATGGATCTGTAAGGAGTTACCAAGGGAAAATTAAGAGTTATTCAGCGTATACCCCTCAGTTTTGAGGTTGGTATTATTAAAAATTGCAAGTTGGCTCTTCTAATGGAACAGCACAGTTAGTCCCTTGGTATGGGTGGACTTTTATTTTGATTTGACATGGAATTTCTGGTGTCCTAATGCAGGACAAACAAGATTTGTAGAGCAGTGATATGTGGCAGTACTCGCTCAGCTTATTAAGTGGACTGCCTGTGGTTTTGAAAAGCTTCCTCCTCTTAATAGTCACACTGGAATCCACTGGGCGGCAAGAACACAGCCCACTACCTTAAGGGTCACTCTTGCATAAGACATTAATGCATCAGTCCCTGATTTGGAAACCTGTGGTCACTCAGTAAGACAGAATTTGTCTCTCTCCCTTGGTGTAATGATTTTTATTTTGTCATCTCTCCTGGGGTAATTCCTTGCAGGCTTGGCATGTTGAGAATCAAATACTGCCTCTAACAATATGGTTGTGATTCTCTGCTTGGCTGATTTAGCTCAGCATTTAAGTAACCACTAATCTTCTGAAAGCACCAGGGTCTACTTAGAGAAATCCCTGTTGTCTGCAAGGATGGAAACAAAATCAGCATGGAGGAAGCATTACTTACTGAACACATATCAATCTTTTTTTTTCCACCTCGCTGTACATTATGCCACCATCAAAGGCGTGGTTTCTGGGTGCTAAGTCTTCATTTTGCAGGTGGAGAGCAGCTCACGTGCGACAAGTAGAGAAGAGGAGTTGGGGAAGTGGACGGGTGAAAAGAGTTTATTGAAATCCCTAAGTTAAAATCAAAGTACAGTCTAGTCTAATGGATGTATCACAAAGGTGGAGTGAAAAAAGCCAGATACAAGAGAATGTTCTCTATAATGTCCTTTACTAAAGTTCAAAAACAAGCAAAACCAGTCTTCTGGGGCCAGGGGAGTAATTGGAAAGAGGCACAAGATGGGAGAACCCGAGTGAGTTCACTGAGTTTTGAATTCTTGACTTCATGACTTGTATAACTTGGGTGATTTATAGGCTTTGGTGAATGTGCTATACGTCAATGAAAAGGTTAATTAAAAAGCACATTCCAGTAGTTACTCTTTGATTTGAAGGAAAAGTCATCTGACATTTTCAAAATTTTATACATATGGGTTTATCAGTATTCATTTGGATGATTCTTGCTCTGATTACCTTGATATCCTGCATTAAGATTTATTATACTTAATGTTCTAAAAGTATTTATTTCACACTGCTGGGACAAACCTGGTCTATAAAAGTGAGAAAGAAAGCACCTCAAATCAACTTCAGACTTAAGAAAAATACCTGAATGTACAGAATGAAGCCAAACTCACAAATGCATTTGTGTATGACTTCATGGAGACAGAAACAGAATGACAATATCTGAATGTCTCAAAACAGAATGACTGAGCAACTCTGTTGCTAAACATCTGCTCACAGAAATCACTGTATAAGGACTAAGCAGATACTGCACTTAAAAGTCAGGAGGCCTAGAATCTCTTCCTGGTTTTGCAACAGAGACATAAAACATCACATCTCTCTTCACCATACCTTGGTTCCCTGTGCATAAAATTAAGGGAAAGGATATGAATGACAGACTGTCTTGGAAAGAATTTTGAGCTCCTAATGAAATATGACATACGTACAATTGTTTAAGACAAATACTGAAGATTATCACTAATGAGGGGCATCCCAGATGGTGCTAGTGGTAAAGAACCCACCTGCCAATGCAAGAGACGTAAGAGATGTGGGTTCGATCCCTGGGTCGGGAAGATCCCCTGGAGGAGTGCATGCAAACCTACTCCAGTATTCTTGCCTGGAGAATCCCCTGGACAGAATAGCCTGGTCTGCTACAGTCCACAAGGTCACAAAGAGTTGGACCCGACTGAAGCCACTTAGCATGCATGCATGCATCACTAATAAGATGATGGCAAAAAGAACTGTCATATGTACATAGTAGAGGAAGCTTGTGATAGGCAGAAGAGAAACATGAAATGAAGAAAAGGAACCATGAACCTGCATTGCATAAATTTTTTTTGCCTTAAATTCTGAGTTGGAAATAGGTTTCAGAGGGAAGGAGTGGGTAGAATCATTCTGATGGGAATGAATAAAATTGATAAATGACCACAATCCTAGTTGGCCATGAGCACACACAAACACCACCTCTGACATCCGAGTTTTCCCCTGATTTAGCTGTTCTAGCTGCTAGGTCATCTTAATGTATCGCTACAAAAACAACACTGTCCTAGCTTTGCATTCCTTCAGTTCTAATAATTGTATATATCTTCTTCCATATCACAAAAAGTTGTTTTTGAAACATTTAGGTATACTCTGAATATTTTGAACTGTGGTGTTGGAGAAGACTCTTGAGAGTCCCTTGGACTGCAAGGGGATCCAACCACTCCATCCTAAAGGAGATCAGTCCTGGATGTTCATTGGAAGGACTGATGTTGAAGCTGAAACTCCAATACTTTGGCCACCTGATGCAAAGAGCTGACTCATTTGAAAAGACCCTGATGCTGGGAAAGATTGAAGGCAGGAGGAGAAGGGGACGACAGAAGATGAGATGATTGGATGGCATCACCGACTTGATGGACGTGAGTTTGGGTGGACTCCGGGAGTTGGTGATGGACAGGGAGGCCTGGCGTGCTGCAGTTCATGGGGTCGCAAAGAGTCGGACAAGACTGAGTGACTGAACTGAACTGAACTGATATACAGTCATTGAATTTTTACTGTCTTCTTTCCCCTTGGTGTCCAGAATTCTTGTCTTTTAAGTTGTTGCCAGATATGTGACGTTGGATCTGGCTTCATCTGTAGAGAAACAAGGACTGTTTTATAAAAGAACAAATGGCTAAACCTGCAGTTCTTGAAGGTCTATGTCGCCTGCAGTTATTCACGGCACCATCTGCCAGTGACTCACTGAAAGCTGGATTTCAACAAGAATTTGAGCAAAGAAGAGAGCAAAGAAGAGGAAACCCAATAAGCATGGCTTTAGACATTCTGATTTCCTTCAGCATACCAGGAATTGGGGTGTTAGGAGGAACCAGGAGGAGCAGAAAACCTCAAAACAGAATGAAGATCACATGTGCAAGACTCAGTTGAGAATTTCCTTAGCTTTAAAAAATTTCCACAGAATTTGTAAGATGCAATTAGCTTTTTATTAAGGAAGTCCCAGGCCCAGAATGAAGTTCAACAGTGTATCGGCTTAAACACAGGTTGCACCACCACTCAGCCCCTGGGTTATCTCAAATACATCAGTGAGGAACACAACCGAGCAATTCAGAGAGCTGTCTGTTTTCTCTGCTGAGCTCACCTTTTAGCTTTTGCTGAGATGGGCGCCAAGCTTTTCTTTCCTGATCAAGCTTGCTGCATAGGGAATCTGTAAGATAAAAACAAGCAAAACTCTCCAGGTGAGCTAAATTTGGAGACAGATGTATAATGGTGACCCTTACTCTTCACTGCACCTAGCGATTTGAATGCCAGTGGATCTGCCCTGAGGAGAAAAGGTCTCCATTCTCCCCAGCAGTGTGGTGCTTCTGGGAGACAGCATTCCTAAGGCCCGTTAGAAAGCATATCAGGACAGAACAGGAGATCATATAAGACTGTTGCTACAGCTAGTCTCTGAGGTTCCTATGTGACATTTGACTTAAGAAGTTTAAAAAAAACTTGCATTTAATAATATGGTATTCTTATGTCCAAGGCCACAAACAAGACTGTGATTACAAGCTAGTTCAATGTAACTTTTCATTTAACTAGAGTGATCAAATATCTCATTATAAATCACAAATAAGGTTAACTAACTAAATACAAACTGTTACTCTGGGTAATTTCCAAATAACTACTAAGAAGCATCAGAAATAATTGCACTGAATGGAAAATATGACCCTTGAGAATTCTACCTGAATAAACTTGAAAAATACTTTTCAATACTGGGGCTTTGAATGAAAGTCCATCACACTTGATATGCTAGAAAATTCAAATAACTGAAATTGGATTACATGTATAATATTATTTAGATTTGCCTCTCCATTAAATCTAGTTATGTTACTTACCTTCATTATTACAAGGTTAAATTCAGAATTCTAGTGATATGTCTATTTTACATTTAAAGAAACACTCAGCCTTCTAGAACATAACATGAACTATGGCTGATATTATGTAAAAGCAGAGAAGGAAATAAAATTATAGTCACTCAATTAAGCAATATTTTGTATCTTGTTTTATACGTTCCTCACATTCCCAGTATATTTATGTTTTGCTCTCCTCATCTACCAGTGCATAAATATGAACCTTTATTAACGGGAAGGAGCTACACATCTACAATGATGCTAGTGACTAAGATTAACTGGACCAGTTTGCCATAATAACCGGTTTGTCAAAGCAAATAGTCTTTTTAATGAAAAAGAGAGAGAAAACTAAAATAACTGTCTCAGTGTCTAGATACACAACCACAACATGGGTGTATACGATAGAAACATATCTGATAAAGGGTGTAATAGCAGCACTGAAGTTGCTTCATATAGGTCCATAAAAAGTTCAGTGTCCTAATCTCATATTTTAGGACAAGAGCTAAGGTCAGCTAGGTAACTATGACAAGAACAGTCACACAGGCATCTACTCTAGTTACCTCTTCTTTTCACTCTGTGTTATGCTATACCTGCTATTAACAGAGACATACTTGAACCCTGATTTTCCACTATGGTGTATGAAACAGTATGCCAAAATACATAGATCACCTCTCTCTTTAGATGAATGCTATCAGAGAGCCTTGAATGGAATTCTATTATTTAGGATAACAAGTGGAAAAGATGTAAACCTTGGGGTATAGAGAATTACCTAATAAAATGCATTTGAGTCACTCTTGCATTTAGAAAGCATTCTCAACATCAAGATTAGATGCCACAAAGATTTAGTAAGTATCTTTTGTACCAGGCACTACACGAGATAAGTTAATATCACCATGAGCCATCTCATCAAAGCCAGTAAACTACTCACCCTAACCTAAAGAAACTGCCTGAAGGGCACCACTTTCACATCTAAGTCGGAATGCCTTTCTCCTTCTCTTTTTTTCAGAAACAGCAATGCAGCATTTCATTAAGATGGGAAGCTGATAAGGAAATTCTTTAAGAGGACTCAGGGAAAAAAAGGACATTTCCAAATAACATTTGATCCTCAAATCTCCAGATTGAAATTTAGATCTGTGTGAAGAATTGTTAATCCTACATCGTGAGCTGAGAATTATTAATTCCAATCATGAATGATAAATAAAGAATATATTAGCACACGGCCCAATTGCTCATGGAAACTTCCCTATTTCATTGATTCTAAGATACACTTCTCTCCCTCACATTTTAATATTTCTGAAATTGGCTGTACTATAAATGATGGCATCTTAGAATAATAGCTAGAAGCTTTCCTTTCTTATGATACATCAAATAATGGGCACTTTTATGATTGGTGGTGCATTATGTTCTGTATTCCCCAACCTGGGAAGCTCATGACCTTAGAGGCTCCATTTAAGATAATTATGCCATGTAAACCTCACATATTAGAATTCATAAAAGCTTTCTTTTCATCTTGATCAGCTTGGAAATCACCAAGATTGGCATGGACAAAAACCTCTGAAAGTTATTATGTAACTTCCAAATTACCTAGTTGGCTCTACTATATCAAAAGTATTGAGATTTTTGTCAAAAAGGATAATTTTCTAGTTTGTACCAAGAGAGAGTTAGCCTGAGCTCAGACATTAAAGTGGATCTACATCTCAAAAAGAGAAACATGTGAAAAAGGATATATAACTTAGAAACAAGTGACTGCACTGTCAAGATGCAAGGCAATAGATCAATAATTGGAAGAGGACCCACTTTAGTCAAAGCCTATCACCTGGAGAATCTTAAGGCAGCTTCCACAGACGTTCAGACTTAGATCAAGTCCTCTGATGTGTTACACATTTAGTCACAAAATCAAAATCCTCTAGGGACCCAGAGATATTTTCTAAAAATAAAGTGTTTGATCTACCTTTTAAAAATATGTAAAACATTTTAAAATAACTCTCCAGGTTCAGAGAGTAGAAATCTGGGCAAGTTCCCATCCTAGTCAATCTGAGAGCACCTCCAAGAAAAGACCATATAGCTCTGAAGAACTGTGTCCTTGCCAAAGAGGGAACACTCCTACAACAAAGATAAAGACCTGTCACTGCTCCTTTCCCTGCAAGGAAGCACAGCGCTCACACCATCAGAGAGTTGTAAACTGCTTTTTTACAAGTCCACAGTGAACGAAACATTAGTACTAAATCTAGTGGACTAACATGACGTTAATTGAGGCTTTGAATGAAGAACTTTGAGACCAGTTCCCCTTGGCTGTGTGTGACTGCAGCATTCTGGAAAAACAGTAGAGGGCACCTAAAGACCAGCACATTTTAAAAGCTTTTTTTTTTTTTTTTTAAATCTATACGCCCCTTAGTAGCGATCCAGCAAGTTCAAAGGATGTGAATCTGAGTCTAGCCATTTATTGTGTGTTTTCTGTTGCAGCTTCACAATGTTCTTCAAGAACTGTGACTAATGTCTTCAACAACTATGCCTTCAACTATGACATGCCTTGAACAAACCTAACGGTAGTAGTCTCTACATATATGTACTTGCTTAAAAAAAAGTGTTTCCAAAGTAGCAATAAAAAAAAAAAAAGGTTATCAAGACATAGTAATCTCAGCTCATGTTGTAAATTATATTATATTCTAGTACTTGGAAAAACTTTAATGAAAAGGTTATAAACTGTTATAGATGTAGAAAGAAGCTTATGCTTACCAGGGGTTAAAAATGGGGAGGGATAAATTGGGAGATTGAGATTGATATATACACACTACTATATATACAATAGGTAACTAATAGGGATAATTAAAAATGCTTTTATCCTATTGTATAGCACAAGGAACTCTACTTGTACTCTGTAATGGGCTATATTGGAAAAGAATCTAAGAAGGAGTGGCTATATGTATATGTATAACTGATTTACTTTCTCGTACAGCTGAAACTAACACAATATTGTAAATCAACCATACACTAGTAAAAGTCTTTAAAACAATGTCATACACTTAGTAAAATACCTTCATTTCCTTCTTTAAATTTTAAAAAAATCTACATATAACATTGTAATGGTTTTTCCACTTTCTTCTTAATCCTAAAGGATGATGGTTTTGGTTTACAAATTGAATACTTTTCCCCTAGAATCATAATTCACCTGTGAATGAGAAATCTTTTGCTCTCTATTATATTTAATGTAATAAACACCTTCATGAACTTGCTAATTCTAAAAACATTTTGGATTCATACCGAGAGGAACATATTTGTTTGTATGAATAAATATAGTTTGGTAACGAAAACATTTTAAGCATTTGAAAACCCAAGGCAGAGGTGGGGGACTATAACATAAACTGTGTTAAGAACTGTAAAACTCTAATTTTAAGCTACTTGTAAAAAAAAAAATTAGCTTGTGGCCCAAGTATGTTAAATAAACTGCATATGCTTTAAATCTCACATTGAAATAATGCATATTCATTTATAAATGTACAAAGAGAATCAATCATTTGAATCTATAGTCACCACAACTTTGCATTTAACAAACTGGAAAAGGAAGCAATGGTATAGAAATTACAGTCAGCAGAGAATCTAAAAATGCAGGCACCAAAGAAATTCATAAGTTTTCTTTCTATGGCAATGATACCCAAGATGCTTTCAATATGATCTTGAATAAGAACACTGTGTAACAGCATAGGATAAATGCATTGTGGGTCTATGGGAATTGTTACAAAATATGATGGTTTTAATATATTTGAATTTTCTATGACTGCAGGATACAGTAGGTTTTCATCTCATTTAAAGGAAAAGAAGCCTATTCTGCAGGTAAATGACTATTCTGTAACATATGCTTTATACACTTTAAATATCAAATAAGTTAAGCATAAATGAATAAAATAATTTTGATGAATTGTTCTGTTCTCAAGGAACAAAGTATGTATCCACATTTAGTGATGAATTAGAGCACTAAACTAAAAATATTGAGAAAGTCAATAATTGTGATACCTAGCAACTTCTTGATTTAGATATAATTCTAAAAGACATTTTTCTCCAGGTACTCTAGCAAATACAAGCTGAATAAGGGACAGGATAAGTTTCCATTCAAGAAATCTCGCGTCCACTGCCTCAATTCTAAAGCAGATGGTATAGTGTGAACACAAGTCCTTCTTGCACAAATGTATTTTTAGCCAATAGTTCCACTAACAGAGGTACTACTTTGGGAAAGAGCATGCCATTAAATTGATTATTCATACTGGCATAGCATTTTATGATTTATAGCTGCATTTCATGCTTATTAAAGGACTTGTGCCTTATCATATACCTATCAAGATACTAGGTTGGCCCTTCAGGAGGTCTCTTTGGTTTAGAAACTGGTACAATGAACTATATAACTATAACAAATCTCGAACTCGAGTTTGCAGACCTTAAAGCTTGTATCTGTTAGTCACAAGGACAGTGCAGTAAATGCATAAGCTCACTAGTGGGGCTTCCCAGGTGGTGCAGTGGTAAAGAATCCACTGCCAGTGAAGGAGATGCAAGAGACTCAGGTTTGATCCCTGGGTGGGGAAGATCCCCTTGAGTAGGAAACGGCAACCCACTCCAGTATTTTGCTGGAAAATTCCATGAACAGAGCAGCCTGGCGGGCTACAGTCCAGAGTCGAATATAACTGAGCACGCATGCACAATTCACTAGTAAGCCTTCTTTCAATAGTTTTGGTAGTAGTTACCCAGCACAAAAAAATATTTTGGGAAATCAGGACCAAGTCAGGAAAATCTGGAAAAGAATTAAGAGGATGGCCACATAAGATTATCAGAGTCAGGGGCATCCATGGGTGGTGATTAATTCAGCAGTGTCTACTGATAGCTATTTGATATTAGACACCATGCTTGGTGTTGAAGGCAACATTAAGACCTGGACATTTCAGGATAGGGGACATAAAAGGAGGGGAAGAAGCAGAAGGAAAAATCATGTCTATTTCGCCAGTTTTCATGTTGGCAGTGTAGATGTGCTTTTGTGGATTTCAGGAATTACATGGGACCTACAAGGGTCGGGGGGAAACATTCCAGCTCCTCCCAAAGAATTTAATGTGCAATCAGGAAAATTTACTATCTAGAGGATTATGAATTAATAACACTTATATAGATAAATGACTACATGATGATAGAATATTTCATAATACAATATAATAAAGATATTTTGTAATACCAGTTTGTACCATCCCACATACCAAATATTCAAAAGACATGAGACATTTTTTCCTTTATTAATACTGTCTGCCACATGGATGCAATATCACGTCCTCTTTTACCAGTGAAACCAAATGTCAAAGAAAATTAAGACACTAAAGTTGCATAACTGGCCTTAATAACTAGCACTAAAATAATTATTTTGTTTCCTTTCCTAATGCCCATTTTGCTATGTTCATAACCACCCAGGAGTCACAGATTTTTGATTGCATGTATGGCAAGTTTTAAGAGTCTGAAAACTGTATCCTCTGTAAAATAAGTAAAGTCTTAACATTTTATATCCTTGAACCTCTGAGTCTATCTTTATAGTCTTTCTTTGGGCAAATTAAGCAATACATAAATTCACAGCAACTAATGAGCAGCTCTTATTATCTAGGTATCAAAAGCTAAGAATAGTAGATAATTTTCTTTTTTAAACTTTTGTGGGGGGTGGTTAGTGGTCAATTGATTAAGAAAATGCTTCTGTTCCCCAGTGAATTTAGGTGCAGATAAAACTAACACGACCAAAACCAAAACAAGAAGAAAGATCCTGTTTAAGAGGATCTTAAGTTGAGGTGGTTTTCAGAACTGAGAGTTGTTAACCAGCACTTGAGATCCAGGAAAACCTCAGAAGGAGGGTTAGAGTTAGCAGCACTTTTAATAGAGCCCTCAGAATGGGGGAAAACATCGTGAAATACAAGGATGCTTTCAAAATGATTCTCGGCAATCTCCATTAAAGCAAGCATGATTTTCTCCCACGCAGAAAGGAAACATCAATAACCATCTTTCTTAAATAATCTTGACAAGAGAGCTAGATGCCTGGCTCTTTAGACAAGAGAGGCGAGTCTGCATTGACAAACATTTCATAGTAGAAGGATAGCGGGGACCAGCTCAGAAACACCAAACAACCCAAATTATAACAACTATGCTGTGAATAACATTAAGAATCAGTGTTATGTCTTTGCCCAAGTGATTAAAAATATCTTACAAAAACTGAGCAGAAATTATTTCCCCATTGTACTCATGAAAATGAGGAAGCTTGGGAGATGGCTCTCAAAGCACTAATAAATAATACCAGATGTGTCTGCATGCAGAAAAAGGGTGAGGAAAACAGAAAAAAGAAAAAACAACTCTAAAAAGAAAAACAAAAACAAAAAATTCACACCATTAATTAGTAGATGTTTTCCTGTTTCCCTGTTTCTGTATCAATAGATCTTAGTCAGTGTCCACTTTCAGACATGATTAGGATAGAGTGAGTAACATACTTCATTTGGAAATAATCCGTTTCTTTTCATTATCCTTCAAGGGAATTTAATTGATGAATTGTGTTTATACTAAGTTCTATTGACAGCGGTGGGCCTGGCTCAGGTCTGGGTGGTGGAAGGAGGGGAAGACAAAGACAATGGCCCTTCCCTGGGCCTCTGGCGCAGCCCAGCACTATGTTTGGAGGTTTGCACAGTGGAAGATGCAGGTACCTCTGGTTCACTCTCAGAGACTATGTACACATCTGTCTATTAACACATGGTAGGTAGTTACAGTTAGAGGAAACATACTGACACATCTGTTTATCCTGCATCTAAGTAAATCTCTTGGCAATTAGCATCTAAACCAGCGGAGAGGTAAGTGGACCAAAGGATTTCAAGGCAAAATACAAGAGCAGCTTCATACATATCATGTGGTTGTGAAAACAAACCCATCACCTTGCATTTATTTTTAAGTAGAAATGCATCTTACAATTTGTAACTGCTGCACCATTTCTTCTCTGTAGGCTAGTTCCCTTTTCATTTGATCCTGGAAATTATCTGGAAGGAGCGAGAAACAGAGAAAGAAATTAATTAAAGTGCAAAATCTACTTTTGGTATATTTAGCATATTGATGGTATAGTACACTACTGACAGTCCCATAGAAACACTCTCCCTTTTTTACAAAAATTTTTAATTGGAGGATAATTGCTTTATAATATGTTGATTTCTGCTGTACAACAATGTGAATCAGCCATAAGAATATATATATATCCCTTTCCTCTTGACCCTCCCTCCAAACCCTACTCCCCACCAGACCACCCGTCTAGGTCATCACGGAGCACCTGGGTGAGCTCTCTGTGCCATGGTTATTTGAAGACATATTTTCTCCAAGACTGTGGTTTAATCAGAATAAATAGTAAATTCTGAGAGTGTATTAGTCACTCAGTCATGTCCGACTCTTTGCGACCCCACGTAGCCTGCCAGGCTCTTCTGTCCATGGGATTCTGGGGGGACTGGTGGGCTACAGTCCAGAGAGTTGGAAAGAGCTGGACACGACTGAAGTGACTTACTATGCACACACATATGCCTCAATCAGAGAATGAAGGAAGGATCTTTAAGAGGTATTGTGCAAAATATCTTTGCCATTCTACATATTGACATTTTTATCATATTTCCAGAAAGGAATGACTTCTTAATGTGTATCTTGCTGTTTCACCTTTTCCATGTGATCTTTTTAAAATGGGGACTTGGCTAACTTCAGCTTTTTCAGCTTTAATTGAGAAATTGACCTGATCTCATATGAATCTGTGGTGGATGGCCAGGGCAGGGCCTTGAAGAAACCAGAAACTTTGTCATCATCTTTTCTTCTCTTCCTTTCATCTCGGCACCCAGCTGGTGTGAGTCCTGTATATTCCACCTCTCCTTTCTTTGCCATTGTTACCTCCCAAATGCAGACATCTCTTCCCTGAAAAATTTCCAACCAACCATCTGGCCTCCACCTCTTTCCTCTTCAAATCCCTTTCACTCTCCTGCTTAAAAGTCCGTGATGGTTTCCCATGACTTTCAAGGTGATAAACCCTTTACCATTCATGAGATTCTGTATACTTAGAAACTAAAAGCACTGTTCTTTTTATTTTTTGATTTCTACCAAGGATACTTACTCCTTGGAAGAAAGAAAAGCTATGATAAACCTAGACAACATATTAAAAAGCAGAGATATCACTTTGCTGACAAAGGTCCATCTAGTCCAAACTGGTTTTTCCAAGAGTCATGTACGGATGTGAGAGTTGGACCATAAAGAAGGCTGAGCACCGAAGAACTGATGCTTTTGAACTGCGGTGTTGGAGAAGACTCTTGAGAGTCCCTTGGACTGCAAGGAGATAAAACCAGTCACTCCTAAAGGAAATCAGTCCTAAATATTCATTGGACGTACTGATGCTGAAGGTGAAACTCCAATACTTTGGCTGCCTGATGCAAAGAGCTGACTCACTGGAAAAGACCCTGATGCTGGCAAAGACTGAAGGCAGGAAGAGAAGTGTGTGACAGAGGAGAGAGGGTTGGCATCATCGATTCAATGGACATGAGTTTGAACAAACTCTGGGAGATAGTGAAGGACAGGGAAGCCTATCATGCTGCAGTCCATGGGCTTGCAAAGAGTCACGCAGGACTGAGCAACTGAACAACAAATCTTTCTATAATATTTGAATTCCTTTCCCAACCTCAAGCACGTATTTTTAATAATTTTAAGACATTTAAATTTAATTATTTTAAATTTAAGAGACTTTAAAAAAAATAGAGCAGTTTTAGGTTCCCAACAAAATTAAGAAGCTACAGAGATTTCTATACATACGCCCCCATTACCAACATCACTCACCAGAACTGACCACCAAGAATGAACCTACACTGATATGCCGTTATCACCTGAAGTCCATAGTTTACCTTAGGATTCACTCTTGGTGTTGTACAGTCTATGTGTTTGGACAAGTATATAGTGACATGTCTCTGTCCTCACAATATTGGGCAGAATATTCTCACTGCCCTGAAATCCTCCATGCTCTACTTATTCACTGTTCCCCTCCACTCCATCTCTAGCAGACTTGATCTTTTTATCGTCTCCACAGTCTTGCTTTTTATAACATGTATTTTTTAAAAGACCCATTTCCTACTCTCATCTCAGAACTTGATGGGAAAGTGGCTGTAATAGAGATAAGTCTGTAGTACTGTGCAAGGGTTAAATGAGGAGGCCTGATTCCCACGGGAGGGTGAAGGGCGAGGAAAGGGGGAGGAGATGTGATCAGCACTCCACTAAAACGTGGAGGCTGAGCGGGGAACAGTGGGGAACAGCTGACTACAGCAAAGCCGGTGGAGGAAGCTCCTTGCGCCCCGTCACCCGCCAAACCACGCTCGTCTTCACACACGCAATGTACTCCCGGCCAGCGTGTGATCGCCGCTGGTGTGGCCTTGCCCTTACAGCAAACCTCTCCCGTTTCTTTAAGCACGAATGTCATATCTCCCACAATGTTCTCTGATTCTCCTGCTCTCTCCTGCCAGAATCGGTCATTCTTCTCTTCTACTCCTCCCGTACTCTACACACACCTCTGTTAACGCATCCACAGTTTGTACTATGATTACCTCTTATACACGTGTCTCTGAGTGAAACAGTGAGGGCAGGCAGATATATTTTAGACACTTCTAAAACCTCCAAATCCCACCACAGTGCTTGACACACGGCAGGGGCTGGTTAATGAATGAGGAATGAAAAGAGCACTGAAATATCCACCCGGAGGTCTGGATCTGCCTTGAATGACAGTTACCGGCTCTGCAGGCTCAGACCCTTATCCGAACAAACAAGGGAACGGAACGATGTGCTCTGTGAGGCCCTTTCCTGCTCCAGTGCTTTAAGATTTGATGACGAGGTGAGTTGACTTGGTTGGGCTTCAGACACCCAGTTCTCTTTCATGTGCTTGTAGATGGGGAGTGGGTAATTTTGATTTGCTCTGATAACAATTAGTAGTCAGGGACTGTATGAGGGGCTGGCATCCACCCGCCACCTCAGGATGCTCTGGGGGTGGGTCAAAGCCCATAGACTGGGCACAAGGCAATAGGAACCAGCATTCCACCAGCATCCTTGGCCCCATGCCTGGGCCAGACACCTTCAGAAGATCAGTGTGCTTTCCAGAGGCCAGAGTCATCCCAAGTAGGCATCCATCTGTGAAGACGAGACCTGCCCTCTGAGCTTTAGCAGCTTCCTCTGTCCCTCTCGAGCTCCGCAGTGCCTCTGATCAGGGTGGGAACTGAGGTGGGTGGGAATGAAGCGTGCCTGAAGCTGGCTGTGCCACCTCCCTGGAATCCCAGGAGAGTCTGATTTTGGAGGAGGGAAGAGCTAAGGGCAATTTAGAGTGGAATGATGGTAACTAGCCCTTACTTAATTCACGCTCATGGCTCTCTGATGGCATACAATACAATTCTTTAAATTAAAATGAAAAAAAAAAGCCATTAAAGTGATAGAAAGATGGTGAATAATTTTATAAAATTGGAGTGAGGAAAAGTGTCAAAGACAAAAAGCAAGCCAGAAAGATGGATAGATTTGATTAGAAAAAAATTTAAAGCTTTGATGTGACAAACGTAAACGTAAAACACCAAAGTCAACATATTAAAATGAATTGAAGCAAAAAAAAATTTGCAACGTGATACAGAATTAATACTTTAGTATGTAAAGAGTTCACACAAACCATAGAGAATGAACACATCAAAAGGAATATGAGGAAAGAATATAATGGGCATTCACAACATGTACAAAGGGATGACAGATATAGGCAAAGTGTTCAATATCCTCAGCAATGAAAGAAAAGGAAATAATATGAGGAACCACTTTTTCCATTTAAGTTACCAAAGATCTAAAGAAAAGATGATATGTGGTGTTTCAAGGATGGGAATATGAATTAGTACAACCTTTTGAAAAAGCAACATAAAATTTTGCAAGAGCTTTGAAAAGATCGTATCTTTGACATAGCAATTCTTTTAGGAGTTTATCCTAAGAAAATGATCATGGATTTGTGCAAAGATTTAGTAACAATGATGTCTAAAACTTGGATAAAGTTTAATGTCCAATATAAGACTACATTTATAGACTGCTGGGAAGTCAAGAAAAGAAGTTCATGTTAAGCAGAAAAAAGGAAGGTTAAAAAAATAGTGTGTGTAATATTTTATTTTGTTTAAAAAATGATTTAATATGCATTAGAAAGGCTGAAACTCCAAAATGTTGACATTGGTTTTCTCTAGGTGACAAGATTATGGGTGATTTTTTACTTTCTTTCTTTTATATAATAAAAGTATTTCTGCATACTTAAACTCTTCTACAACAAGCATAACTTGGGAGATATAAAGATTGCTAACTGGCAAAAGAAAAAAACTAAAAAGTTTGCTATGTTCTAAGGCGATGAAGGCACAATTTAACTGGAGATGGAAAAAGCAGTAAGCTGATTTCTCTAATGAGATTTACTTAATGCCCAACTATTTTGGGAAGATGACAGCATAAAAGGAGGTGGCAGAAAAAGCACCGAAGGCAGTCTGCCAGCCAAACACAGAGGCAACACCTGTGTTCTGCAAACACGGACAGTCTGAAAAGCCAAACAGTCTTTCAAACAGCAACAAGAAGTACCCAGCCTACCTTCCTGGCACCAGAACTAAGAGGACTCATACGGTAGATCTAATTCCCCCAGTAGAGCATACTTATCAAGCAATAAGCTTGGGGGCTTATTTCATTTACACAGCCTTCATTTTGTTGTCACTGCTTTTAAAGGATAATAGAGACTTTTGATCCGTACCATGTTTTAGAAACTCCCTTCCCTCCTTCTCCAGAGGACACTATAAAAAGAGCGAGCAAAGAAGAATTCTATGATTATACTGATCTTAGAATGAATCTAGTAACAGTCACAGGTGAAAGATGGGATGACCATATTTAGATAGATGCAATGTAGCTGGGTCTTCTAGAAGGAATCTTAAAAAGAACTTGGAAAACAGATTTTTAAATAAAAATCTAAAACAATGACATGATTAACACCTACCAGCTAAGTTTTTCACAAAGCCTCAGTCATTAGTGCTTCCTTGTTGTAAGCTACTGGCCTTTCTACTTGGTTCTCCAGTGCCATGAATTTGTCATCATATCTGCAAATCCAAGGACTCAATTCATGAGTCCTCTCTAGTCTCCTTTAGCAGTGATCCAATCTCATCTTCATTATGAGCTTTAATCTCTTTGAATATGACACCAAAACTTATATCAACCATTGATTAAGAGTACACTACATGCCCACAATTTGCTGGGTAGACAGCAACAAAGACTCTTTCTTTAACATATTTACAATACTGTCAGGCGGAGGGTGAAAAAATCAGTGAGAAGCTAACACAAAACACCAGTGGAACTAGGACTTCAGCAAAGAGTGCATACTGCAAGAGCGGGAAGGCTTCCTGGAGGTGGTGGAACTTGAGCGATGTTCCAAGTGATGAGGAGCACCTAGACGAGGGAGGTTTTTGGACTAGAGAAACAAGAGGTGCAGAGGTGGAAATTGAGGGATGAGGGCTGTCTGTGGGGTAATGAGCTGAACAGGGGGAGAAGTGGAAATAAGCAGGGTGGATGGGGTGATTATGAAGGGTTTTAAAAGCCAGTTAGGAGTCAGATTAGTTGTAATATGATCAGCAACAGAGAATCACTATAGGGGGTGGAAGATGTGGCACCAAAGTAGATTTTTAGGAAGGCTGGGCTAATGGCAGCAAGCAGAAAGAGGTGGAGTGGGGAAGAGAGGTGAGGACCTAGGGTTACCCCCTGCAGCAGTGACATGAGAGAGAAGGGGGGGTGAGGGCCTTCTCCAATGGTGACCCCATCCAGCAAACTTTTGGCAGGTCCCAGGTCAGGGCTAGGCTCTGAGGTTACACTGATGGCTAGTGGCAAGACAGTAAAAGGACTGAAAAGCTACAGCAAAGGCCTGAATGCTGTCATAAAGGAAGGTGCCAGGTGCTGGAGAAGGGAGGAAGGAGAGATTCACTAGGAAAGGCAGATACAGTGTCATGACAAAATGATGACTTGATTTGCAGCTGCAACAATGATCAGACCGGTCCTCAGTGGGAGAGCCTGGTGGCATGCTGGGGGCAGGGCCTCTGACCATTTACTCCTGTCCAATTAAACACAGGATGTCACTGCAGGACGTGGGACCAGCTGTGCCACTATCACCTCAATGACCTTGACAGAGGTGAAGCTCCTCCTCATCCATTTCCTCCAACTCTTATTTCTACCCAATTCTAGATTACATTTCTCCCACCTTTCCTGAGGATCCCCTCCTGACTTCTCTTCGCTTGTCTGCTCAGTTGGACAACTAAATGGAATTGTCTTGTATCAAAATCAGTTTTGCTGCCTGTCCCATCCTCTATAACTATAGCCCGATAAAGCTCTAGAAGTTCTGCTTTCTAATATCAGTTGCTTTACCATAAAGCCCCTTTAGGAACATAAGTATTACACTTAAAATGGTGATAGTAACAATGACTCACATTACTATGGATCAGTCACTATGCTAAACACTTTATACATTTTAATCCTCTCTGCAATGCCACAAAGTGGGTAGTAGTATTGTTCCACAGTTGAAAAGGAGGTCAGGTAAAAAATCTGTCTAAGGTCACTCTGTGGGGAAGTCGGGGTCCAAACCTGGAGACCCAGCTACTAACCACCATGCTCTGTATTCTACAAATGCTTTTCAAGAACTCAATGCTAATGAATAATCTCCTCTTCCTCCTCCTGCTTCTTCATCACCATCACTGTCACTGCTGATGCTATCAAGCACTTATCCTATGCTAGGGATGTTCTCGGACTTTCACGTGGATCCTCTCATGTAGTCTTCATCTTTCTATGAGACTGGGATTGTCTGGCCCATGTTACAGTTTCCAAGGTCCTACAACCAGAGGTAGCAGAGCCACAAAGTAGCTCAGGGGATTCTGAGCCTGGAATCGCTAAGTCACAGGTGATAACAGCCTATGTCCCCAGTGTTCTGAGGGAATTAGATTTGAACTGTCCTGACTGAATCCACCTCCTGGTAAAACGCTCTGGCTGGGTTTCCTCTCTGCTTCCTTCTGATGTGGCTTTACAAAGTTCCGTCCTCCCCTCTCCACCTGAGCGAATCTAAATCTGTCGGCCAGCCTCACGGCCTCTCACGTTTAGTTAACAAGCACATAATGGGTATTTGCTATTTTCACTGGTGTGAAATTAACTGCCTCTTTGTGGTGGGTCTAAACCATGCATTATTCAAACTTGGGTACCCACACCACTTCCTTGGTCAGTGGAGTACACTGCAGATAAAAAAGAGTAAAACTTTTCCGTTGTTTAATCGAAGTGTTTCATACACATGGCAACACAGAGGAGTCATCTTAATTCACAACAAAAGGATGAGTGATGGGTCTGAATGGAAACTGGGATCCTAACTTTTGAAAAAAACAGAAACATCTATATGTTTTATGATAATTAGTAAGAAATGTGTAAATTACTTAATTTCTTAAAATGATTTTGTTTTTTCTTGGCTGTGCCACGGCATGCAGGGTCTTAGTTCCCTGACCAGGGATTGATCTCATGCCCCATGCAATGGAAGCACAGAGTCTTAACACTGTGCTGCCAGGGGAGTCTCAATTCCTTAAAATAGTTGATCAACTTTTATTAGTGGGAAAAATTATGGCTATCCTGGCTTCACAGGGAGTTAGGCAGACACTCTGGGGACTCACTGGGGTCTGGATCCAGTCTGCTGGATCCGCAAACTCAACAATTAGATAAACATCAGCTTAGAGGGGACACAAATCACTCAGTGTCTACTCACTGCTGCAAGGATCTGTACAGTCATTCTTAAGGTACATTTTTTTTAGAAACTGGAGGATCCTGGATTCTTTGGAAGCACCTGTTTTTTAAGGTCTCAAAGATATTTTTACTATGTTCCTCTTTTTCTTAGCGCTACAAATATCATGATACTAATACACTATCTAGAGCTGTTGGTCATTCTCTTCCCTTTGATCTTATTCTAAGCCACAGCAAGCATTCTCCAAATTCAAAATACTCAAGTATCATCATGAGCTCCAAACCTCCCATGTGGATATCGATAGAGCCCAAACTTGGCCAACTGTGTTGTTTCTTGTGATTAGAACTCTCTTCCATCATGAGCCCTCTTCATTTTTATCCCTGCTAAACATTCTGGTGCAACTTAGTCTGACATGTTACCAGGAACCCAGTACTGTTCAAAACTGCTACCCAAGAGGGCAAGTCTTTCAGTTATGCAGACGATTACATTTGAGAAGCTCTGGCAGACCTTTGTGTTCCTACTATTAAAATTGCCACAACTACTGAAAAGTCTTTTTCCAGATATTTGCCTGTGACTCTTGCCCAGGAATTATCAACATCAGTTTTTTGATTTCTGGTTTAATAAACAAAGGGTACTGACATGCTCAAGGTGTCCCAGAAAAAAATTAAATATATTTACATATTATTTTATTTCCCACTTTCCTCTCTCTGGAGAAAGGAATATGACTAAATGAAACTTCAAAAAGTTTGAAAAACACTACTGTGATTTACTTGATCATGGATGAACTTTTTGGTCAACCCAGTACTTATCTAAGAGTGATTCAGAACATGACTGGAGAATTTAAGAAATCTGGACACCTATCATAGGTCTTTCTGAAATTCTAGGACTCTGCAAGCAGAACCAACAGTTTTTATGCCGTAATTTCTTTTGCCAATAAATCTGGAATGAAATTTTAATGCTAAGTATGGATGGAGAATCTCAAACTACTAAAATTATACTAATTTTAATTAATAAAATATAGGTATATTGAATTGTTAAATTTTAAATCTTCATATTTCAAGTACCAGGCAGCTCTCTAGCACTATCCGAGAAAATGAATTAACTATTCTTTTGTTTTTCCTACCTTAGAGAAAAAAATACTTGAGTAGTTCTTTTGTTTTAAAAATATTAATATATTTATTTAAATGTATCTATATATTTAAAGGTATATTTGCATACATGTTTTAAATGTACACAATATATATATGCACAAACACATATCTACCAATACAATTAATACCAAAAGGTTCTTATATAGAAATTTTATCTGTGAGCGAATAAAATAAATAACAGGCTAAAATTTCCAAATACTAAAGAGATCACAGGAAGATCATGTACTTACACTGACTAATAAAAATGTTATCAAATATCATAATGCAATGAAATAAAAGTGATTTCTTACTGAATACTGGGAAAGATGTATTTCCTTTTAACACTTGGAATTCTTGTTCGAGTCGTCTCCGTAAATCTATTTGTTCAAATAAAACCTTCTGAAGTTCTTCTAATAAAGAAAAAAAGAAGAGTCATTTTACTAATCTTTACAAATAACTCTCCAGAGAACCGTTATATATGGCAATTTATTATTATAAGACAAAATATTTTACTAGTTTAAAAAGTGTTGCATAGACATAGGATAGATTTTGTGCAGAAATCCATGAATATAAATCAATGTAATATATTATTTTAAAGTATTATATTACAGTGTCATGTATTGATTGATATGTATGCATTAATCTCAATTATATCCACCCAATGGTCCATATATTATTCATATGTTGCTTGTCAAGCTTAAAATATGGTGTAGAACAAAAATATCCTCCTATTATCTCTTTAGTCTTTTAAAGCTAAGAGAAGTTCTAGAGAATTTTTCTTTACCTTTCCCCATATTTTCTACATCCTTTTTGAGTGAATGAGGCGAATTCGTCTCCTGTGTGTGTTCACCTTGTAAAAGGGAGGAAAAAATATTAGTTTTGTGTAGACTATTTTCTGCAAGTTTTTACTTTCACTTTCTATCTATCTACAAAAGAGTGCATTTAATATAACTTCAAAGTGGAAGTCCTCAGAGCCAGATGTTGTCCTCATTTGCTCCTGTATCTTTCCCCTAAACCACTGGAGGGACAGAACTGAGGTCAGAGTCCACCTACACCACGATAGTGGCTCCACGAAAGCACACTCTCGATGTCACCGCATCCTGGCCCCCATCACCACCCAGTCTTTACCACGATGCTAACTGTTAGAACAGCAAAAGAGGAGGTTGAACAGTCGACATTTCTGGTAGAAGTCTGATCAGAGTCCCTCTGTTTCTAGAAGCGAAGAAGCCTGTGTTAATTGGAAGGCCCCCAGAACCAGAAGAAGAAGCCTTCAGTCTTCTTGGGTCACCAAAATGGGCAGCGAAGAAGAAGTGGGAGGAGACTTTAGCTGTCCCTGGGAGAGAATGTATGAGCCTGCTGTGTGTGTATGTGTGTGCTAAGTCGCTTCAGTCGTGTCCGACTCTTTGTGACCCTATGAACTGTAGCCCACTAGGCTACTCTGTCCATGGGGTTCTCCAGGCAAGAATACTGGAGTGGGTTGCCATGCCCTCCTCCAGGGGATCTTCCCAACCCAGGGATCAAAGCAAATTGCAGGCAGATTCTTTACCCTCTGAGCCACCAGGGAAATGGTTTCCTAATAATTGATAGGTTGTTTAAGAGGAAATCAACCTAAGTGAGAGGTGTGAAATAAGTCATGTAACTTTGTAACAATCACATGCTTACTGATGATAATTTCTTAACTATGATAATTTCTTAATTACTCGTCTTCAACCATACAAACCATATTATGGATAGAGCTTAGATTGTTGTTCTTAACTATTTTGCAGGTGCTAACTAGAATGATAGCAAGCCAAGAAAGTGTATAGCTAAATCATAAATTGAATCTATATAATCCAGAAAACATAAGCAAAGAAATGTAATTGTTCAACTATCAGAATTTTTTAAAAATCTCAACTTGCTATCTGCAATTATCCAAATAATTTAATTAAGCTTTCCATTTTCATCTAAAGCGATGTGGCCGTCCAGCAAATGTGCTCCGAGGAGGTTTCCTGAATGCCCCTCCTCTCTCTCTCAGGTTAGCTCTTCTGTGTCCCTGGTGCTGTTTCCTCGCAGCCTTCTGCACCTAGGAGGCAGCGTACTATTTGGAAGCAGGTGCTCTGTCTTTTCTGTATGGCCAGTGCCTATTACAGTGCTGGACACATGCTAAGTATTCAATAAAGTCTTTCCAACTGTCACTGAAAGGGACCTGGGCAGTCATGAATTCTAAATTATAGCACAGATCAGATGGGTCATTTCAAATCTCTTCTCACTGTTTTTTAATTTTCCTTCCTCAGCAAGCAATAGAATGGAAGTGGTCCTGGGCACTGCAGGAATACTGGAGAACTTTACTGTGAAGGTAAAAATTTCTGCAAAGAGGAAAGAAGAACTTCTTCCCAAAGCAGCAGCCTATAGTATCAAGGACAGACACAGAAATCTTCCACATGATATTATAAACAGTGATTCTGTTAGCTTACCTGATGACTGTCAGGAGTATGTGTGTGCACATGAGCATGTGTGCAGATGTAAATACAAATACACAAATATTCACAAGTATGTGCACAGTTATGGGAAGGTGCTTCCCCTGGCTCCCCATTGTTAATAATATCCAGGGCATACCTGAATTCCTTAATGGCAGCCATTTTCTGTACCATCTAGATCATATTTGCACAAACTCATTCTCACTCTCATCTGGGACATTGCCTCTCTCTACAGACCTCTGAATATTAATACTTTGGCTTTCTTCTCCATATAGTAAAATAATGAGAAAATATCTGCAAAGCATTTTACATACAGATCTCAATATAATTTCTATAAATTACTATTATCTAAAAGAAAGGCTTCCCTGGTGGCTCAAGTGGTAAAGAATCTGTCTGCGGTGCAGGAGACCCAGGTTTGATCCCGGAGTCAGGAAGATCCCGTGGAGAAGGAAATGGCAATCCACTCCAGTATTCTTGCCTGGAGAATTCCATGGATAGAGGAAGCCTGGTGGGCTACAGTCCACCAGGTCACAAAGAGTCGGACATGACCGAGAAACTAACACTAAAAGAAGAGTAACATGAAGGTTGACCATGAATCACACATACATAAATCAAGAATGCATGCGTGTGTGCTAAGTTGCCTCAGTCATGTCTGACTCTTTGTAACCCTATGGACTGTGGCTTACCAGGCTCCTCTGTCCATGGAAATCTCCAGGCAAGAATACTGGAGTGAGTTGCAATGTTCTCCTCCAGGGGAACTTCCCCACCCTGGGATCGAACCCACGTCTCTTACATTTCCTGTATTGGCCACTAGTGCCACCTGGGAAGCCCCATAAACCAAGAAAAATGGTATTTAAAAATGAAGATAAATTCATATTATGTGCAGCTTTGCCTATGTTTACTTTAGAGTCAGCTAATCAGTTAAACTCATAGATGTTTCATATTTACATATTGAGGCTGAACAAGAAATGAAATGAGCATGCACACATTTCTGTACCTATCTACAGAGCATAGTGAGATTTCATCATTCTACAACTTCCCCAACCACTCAACACATGATTTAAATGAGATAAGTTTCTGAATAAGCAACTCTAGAAGCCATTTGCTTATCACGTTATAGACCAGTTTCTTTTTGATCTATTAATGTATTTTGTGGACTATTTACCTTATATTACATTTCAACTAGATAATTAAAAATTAATATATGATATGTAAAAATGCATATCTTTTCCATTTCACAGTTAGTAAGTTTACATATCTATGAAGCATTAAACAAATAGTAGTAAATGAAAACTATATAAATAACAGGCAAATCTACTGGTAACATAATAAAGTTTTCATCTACTTTGTAGAGGTTTTAATAGTATTTTACATCAGTGTCTATTTTAAACAGATATTATGCTACAGCTTCTCAGGAAAATCTGCCAATTTTGAGTTCAGAAGGTTCAAATGTCTCACTTACAAAGGGTTTAAAAAGTGGGTCAATGTTAGGTAAATAAGGAGCATAGAAGCTTCAGTTGCCTTTTGTATATACTTTACTGGACCGTTGCCTTTTGTATATTACTAATCTGTGAAAACCAGATTGTTAATGGTGGTTAAAAATGACCTCTGGGAGCCTGGATATGTTTGTTCACTACTACTGTTAATGTTTTCCATCTGGCTAAAAGAAAAGAAAGCAGTCTAATAGTAGATTAAATAAATGAGATTTAGTTGACAATGAACTTCCCATTTTTATAAATATTCCATCAGGTTAAATGCATTTTACTTTTCCAAAATTAATGAATGGGTTTGGAGACATCCCAAAACGAAAATGCTTACTATCTTCCCATTATATTCTCCCTTAAAAAAAAAAAAAGTTACACAAAGGCCAGGGTGGAGGGGGGCATAAGATCTTAATGATAAAGAAAATGGTTGAAATAGCTTAAACTTGGAGAATGATGTATAATTCGGGCATAAAATGCATAAAAGAGCCACAGCTCTGGATGAGTCTACACAAATGCACATTCGTAGCATTGCCTGTGAAGCCTGCTCGCCCCAAGAGGGTAGAGACAGCACGATCGCACATCAGAGAAACTACACTTCTGCTGAGTGCAGCGGAGCCCAGAGAGCCTGGAGCCACGTGGTTCCTGCTTCCCTGGTCTCTTCAGGGTCCTCTGGGACCAGACAGTCCCACATCTCCACCCGACCCCTGGTTCTGCCCTCACGCACACAGTCATTAGAAATTGGAAGTACAAGAGAGATGGATGTGAGCATTTGCCACGCCAAAGCAGGCATTAGCAGTAAATAGCAGATGAAGGGTGAAACTGGAATATCCAAAGGGGGGAAAAAACCTTAAAAAAGCCAATAGATTGACCAGTGCTACATTTCAAGGCACAATCGTAATGACTTTCTGTTAAACATCACGGCACACCTCTGCTCGAGCCCCTGCAGTGGTCCCCTGTGGTCTACACTGCATGATCCACTCCAGGTTCTCCAGTAACCCTGTCCCATCCAGCTCCACCAACCTGAATTTCTCTGTTACTAAGCACAAACCCTTTCCCCAGGGCAGACATCTGCTGGCTCTGTTTTAGGTGGTTTCTCTTCCCTAAGGTGCACCCCCACTAGTCCATCCAAAATCAGAAGTCCCCCAAGTGCCACTGACTCTTCCTTACACTAGTTTGGTCTTCCCCAGCTAGAAAATCTGCTTTCTGAAGGCAGAGGAATCCTGCTCTACAGGTAACCCCCAATGCCTCTGCTCTAGGGAAGGGTACAGATACATTCCACAAATGCTTGTACTTCATTTAATCCAATCTGCTTTGTGAAAGAAATACAAATTAATATTATTGTGAAACTCCAAATATCATAATGTTTTTCAAGTACTAACTCATTCCTACAGACCAAAAAAGCATACTTTGATCCATTGTACAGTCTAAGATTTATTCTATATTTTCAGTTTACTGGAGAAGTTTGTGATTATTTCAATTTTTGTTTCTATCTGATATTTGGAAAATTTCTTCCAGGGACAAACAAAACTATAGCACTGAATGTTAACCAAGACATGAAAATGCTAATTCACATACACATCTGCTGTGGCCTCCAACTGCAAAAAAAATCTTACATTTTGTAGAGCTCATTTTAATTTGAAGAGCCAAATGAGTAGGTCAGATAACCTGTTCTGTTTGTTGGTGGCTGTGAGATGGGAGGAAAAGTTGATTAAATAGATATTATGTTCTCAAGCTAAACTTAAATTCAATAAATAAGATCATTTAAGTCCTGTATCCTGTATGTATACAGGGCATCTAAGTACAGAGGGTACAATATAAAATGCCTGACATTTGGATGAAGAGTAAAATTGTTGGCATTTGCCTAGCCCTCCTATGGAAATACATCCTCCTTCCTTCTTTCAACCCCACTC